AAAACTTGACATTGACATGCAAATACGGTGCTTATCTCGTTTATGTACGTAGTATGTGCTGACTAGGCGCATGGGGCCCGGGGTCAGCCGCTCGACCAGAGAGAAGGGCCATGTGGCCTGATTTTTTCAAAAACGCCCTTGAATTTTTTTAAAAAAAAAATCCATGTTGACGTGGGAAGATTTTGTCACCTCTGTGAGATGTGAGTCCCGCATGTCATCCACAACAACGCCCACGCAAACGAGGTGGCAAACCACTGCACCCGTTTCCTTCGTCCGGAACGAGTAAAATCTTTATCTATTGTAATGGCAGGGCATGTGGAGGTTAAATGGGCTGCAGATCTTGCGGTTTCTTCTGCACCTGTTAGTCTTTCTTATTTTTCTGTAGAAAGAATCAAAATTATAAGTGTTTTAAAAAAATCTAAATTATAATCGCAGTAATACAAGTAATGAATGAATATTTGTGTTTATAAAAAGTTCACATATTATTTAAAAAATATTTATGAATTATACCAGTGTTTTCATAATTTACAATTTACAAAGTTAAATTACAATTCATAAAATTATTTTAGGTATACAACATTTCCATAATTATATGCACGTTTGTATAGTTCAATGTTTTTATAACAAAAAATAATCATAATTTATATTTTAAACTGCTCATATGAATATTCATTTTCTATAATTTAAATCTAAGCCGTGACTATATAATATTTACGTATTAATTAAATATGTTAATTTTATTAAATGTCCATATTAACTAAATATTTTTTATAGGACCGTGATATTTGGCACTTGTGTGGTGGATAGCAAAACTACCACACTCCTCCTTCCTCCCATATAAATACATGCATGCATGCATTAGGATATAGATTAGGGCGTGACTAACTTTCTTTCCACGTCCATCCCTCTCTCTAATTACATACATGCACTAGAGGACAAAAAAGCTGATGTCATCCTAGATTCTCTCATATTTCAAAAATTCAAAATGTTTTGTAGCTTAAACCATTGGTTCGATGCAAAAACCGTTTTCACATAAAAGATTCGTCGCGATGAGATCTTCAAAACTAGATCCCATGTTGGTATGTTCCGACTAATCTTTTTTCCGGGTCAAAAGTTACCACACCTCGGGTACATAAGTTACCAAGCCTGTGGTATGCAACTTACCGTGCTATTTCCACATAAGTTACAGGGGTTATATTTTTCAGCAACCCCCCCCCCCTCCTGCCGGGTCAAAAGTTACCGCAGGTATTTGTACTTAACTTAGTAGGTACGTGGTTCATATATTATCGTGCTATTTTCACATAAGTTATCGGGAGATGTTTCTCAAAAACTTTTTCCCCTCGGTTAAAAGTTTTTGCGGTATTTGTACATAAGTTATAGGGTATGCGGTTCGTATTTACCATATTATTTTCACATTAGTTATTGGGGTATGCTCTTTCTCCCGGTCAAAAAAGTTACCGCGGTGTTTCTGGTAAGTTGTCGGGTATGCGGTTCACATGCTACCGTGCTATTTTCGCACAAGTTACCTCGGGGATTGGAGTATGTTTTTCAACAACTTTGTTTCGCATTGGTCAAAATTATTGCGATGTTTATTCGTAAGTTATCGGACATGCACTTCATATATTACCGTGTTATTTTCACATAAATTGTTTTCAACAACTTTTTTCTGCCGGTCTAAAAAGTTACCACAATATTTGTACTAAGTTATCATGTATGTGATTTGTATATTATCGTACTATTTCTACATAAGTTTCTGAGGTTATATTCTTCAACAACTTTTTCTCCTGGTCAAAAAGTTACTGTGGTGTTCCTATGTAAGTTATCAAGTATGTGTTTCGTATATTACCGTGTTATTTTCACATTAATTATCGAGATATGTTTTCAACAACTTTTTCCTCGCGGTCAAAAAGTTAATTACCGAGGTGGTTGTACGTAAGTTATCGGGTAAATGGGTCGCATATTATCATACTATTTTCACATAAGTTACCGGGGGTATGTTTTCAACAACTTTTTATTTCGATCGGAAAAGTTACCGTAGTGTTTCTACGTAAGTTATCGGGTATGTGGTTCGTATACTATCATGCTATTTTGATATGTTTTTCAACAATTTTCTTCCTTCTTGGTAAAATTTACCATTGTCTTTGTACGTAATTTATCGTGTATGCAGTTCATATATTACCGTGCTATTTTCACATAAGTTATTGATGTATATTTTTCAACAACTTTTTTCTCATGGGTAAAAGTTATCGAGGTATTTGTGGATAAGTTATCACGCCCATGGTGTATATGTTACCATGTTATTTACGCAGTAGTTACCGGGGGTATATTTTCAACAACTTGTTTCTTCCGAGCTAAAGGTCCCGCACGTGGGCTACATAAGTTACCACACCTGTGACATGTTAGTTATCGTGGAATTTTCACTAAAGTTACCAGGGGAATGTTTTTCAACAATTTTTCCCCTTTTGTCAATGTTACCGCGGTGTTTGTAAGTGCTGTCAGATCTACGGTCCGTATATTACCATGCTATTTACATAGAAGTTACTCAGGGTATATTTTCAACAACCTTTCCTCTCGGGTCAAATATTTTCTCTCCAGTCAAAAATTACCATAATGTTTGTATGTAAGTTATCACGTCTACAATGTGTATATTATCATGTTATTTACACATAAGTTACCGGTTATTGTTGAATAAATTTTTCCACGACTTTCTCAAGTTCCTACTATAGAAAAAAAAACAAAATAGTATTCTTACATGCAATAGAAATTATTGCCCCATGACTAATTTGGTTTGTACAAGAAGAATATATACATCCCCCATTGAAGAAAAATACTTGCTCAGGTGGGTTTTTTAACTACTTTTCCTCCTTTGTCAAAGTTATCGTGATGTTTATACGTAAGTTATCAGGTAGTTTTGATGAACCACGTATTACTCTCATGTCTGTATTGCCATCCTAGCTCTAAACTAATCTTCAGGCCACTTAGCATCTGAATCAAGGTAAAAGTGTAGAAGACCGGCTCTCGGTTTATATGCTCTAGATACTGAACTTTGCACCGCCCAACACACAAAGTTGCTTCCTTTTCTAAACAAAAAAAAGCACAAAGTTCTTCCAATTCCAACTGTCATGGCACCATCCAACAGTTCTTGCAACAAACAACAATCTCGTGTTGTAGTACTATCAGAGCAGAGCAAACTGTAAACTCGAAAAAGAGGCCTGGAATCACATGATTATAAAAAAGTGGCAACAAAATCTATGGAGACTAGCACCGCAAGGTTGCCAGCAGTAGTAAACAGCATCAAAGTTGTACAACTACCCTGCTGTCGGGCTCATGCGCATCTGCTCGTAGGAGGCACATCAAGCTCCGGCCATGGATGGGAATGGAGCCGAAGACGGGGACGTTACCTCGGCCGATTGACAACCAACAACGTAGGTGGAGGAGATGCAGACGGGAGGGATGGAGCTCCTTTGCTGAGCGGCCGGAAGTGTGGCTGATGCATGGTGGCATCGTCTACCACGACATCTCTGTGATGGACGGCCGGTGAGGTTGCAGCAGGATCCATCTACGACAAGAAGCAGGGCCGGGGCCATCCACAACAAGCAGCCGGGGTAGCGGATCTCGGCTCCCTTCTCCTTTTGACCGGGAAGCAAGGCAACGACTGGCGGCTTTAGGTGGCTGCGGATCTCGCCAGAATCCGGAACCCGGAGGCCCTTGCGGCTGGGAAAGGAGGCGGAGGTGCCAGGGGCTAGCCGGCTAGGTGATGAGTGAAGGCGTGCTGCGCCGGAGCCGGGGGTGTGAGGCGAGCGGCGGGGTCGAGGTTTGAGGCGTGTGGTGGAGGCGCGTTGGCCACTGGGGAAGAAGGTGGGAAAGGGAACGCCTCATTGGATTTGGATCGAACGCCTCTCGATGCGTGTGGCAGTTTTGCAATCTGCCACACAGTTGCCAGATACATATTTCGTTTTTTATATCATGCAAGGATGTATATTTAAATGTTATCATTTACTAATAATCATTTTCATGTATAATATTTGTATCACACAAATATGTGAACATATTTTTTATTAGTTATGTTTTACAAATAAATGTTAAAGCTATATGTACTATGTGCAGCCCGTAAAAGCTCACCATGCTGCCAGGTTAGTACATATAGCTTTCTTATCCGAATTAAACATAAGATCTTGTTGGCGTATTGGTTAGCCGTTTTGGGGGTTTGTAGTCGGACATGGCTTCGACTCCAGGCGGCCTCCCTTTTGATTTAATTTTCACTCTGGTCTGACAGATGGGACCCACTTCTCATAGAGGTGAAAAAATGCCACTCCCACGTCAACAGGGGCTTTTTGTGAAAATAAATATTTCGAGGGTGTTTTCCAAAAAATCAAGCCACACACCCCTTCTCCCTGGTGCAATGGCTGACAGCAGGCCCCACGCGCCTAGTCAGCACCTACTCCGTACATAAATGAGATAAGCACCGTATTTGCACGTTAATGCCAAGTTTTTGCATCACTTCAATGTACGCCACAACTTCTAGCACCACAGTGACCGTTTACGCCAAGTTGTAGCACCACCAGTGTAATTGACTCTTGTATGAATACGGTCAAACATATAAAAATTTGACTTTCAAATAAAGTTGGAAGTATACTCTTTCAAGCGCAGAGGGAGTAACTGTTTTACTCTTCTGAGTTTGTGATACCGCAGTGAATACAGTAGAACGATGCAACGACGGGACAAGACCCCGCAAAAAAAAGACAACACTAAATAATAACAACGACATTGGTCAGCAAACCAAACAAGAGGAATTTTCTGCTTTGCAAATACGGCCTCTTCGTTGTATTTTTCGTCAAATGTTTCAACCGATCAATTGATCTATGCTGGTTTAGGAGTACAACATGCAGTGCTACACTACACAGCGTAACAGCAAATTGCGGATCCGACTATTCAACATGCAGCAATGTTGTAAACCAACCTCGTCAACACAAGAGAAGCAACAAAAAGTTCACGCCATCTCATCTGCACACCTTGCAGAGGCAGACGACCAAGATGACCACGAACGCCAAGCAGGACAGGCCAATGGCGAGCCCGAGAACCACCGCGCTAGGGCCGCCACGAGCGTCGGCGTCGCCGTCCGCGTCGCCATCACTGCCGCCGTCGTCGTAGTCCGCCGCGCTCTTCTCCGACTGCGCCGTCGCCGGGGGAGCCGTGACCGGGAACCCGTACTTGTCGCACGGCGCCACCCCCACGGCGACCTCGGCGGAGAGCACCGACCTGTTGTAGCACAGCTTGCCATTGCCGGCCGCCCTGAACACCCGCAGCCGCGACAAGAACCTGGCGCTGAACGGCACCACGCCGTCGAAGTCGTTGTTCTCCAGGTTGAGCTCCTTGAGGCCCCTCATCTCGGACAAGAACGGCGGTATGCTCCCGTTGAGCCGGTTGGAGCCCAGGTTGAGCACCTCCAGCTCGGGCAGCGTGGAGACGGTCTCCGGGATGCCGCCGGAGAGGGAGTTGTTGGACAGGTCCACGGTGGTGAGCCAAATGAGGTCACCGATGTGTGTGGGGATCTGCCCTTTGAGAACGTTGGAACTGAGGTTCAGGTGGGTGATGCTGCCAAGGTGGGTGATGGTGTCGGGAATGGCGCCGGCGATGCGGTTGCCGGAGAGGTCGAGGTGCGTCAGGTTGGGGCAGTGCCAGTGGTGCGGGAGGAAGCCGGATAGGTTGGCATTGGAAATGGCGAGACGGTTCAGGTGGTCCATGTGGGAGATGACCACGGCCAGCTCGGACGGGGAGCCGGTGGCGAGAGGGGTGTTCGCGACGGTGAGCTCGGTGAGGTTGGCGAGGCGGGAGAGCCAAACGGCGGAGAGGCCGCCGAGAGACGCGGTGCAGGAGAAGGACAGGAGACCCGCGGCGAGCTGCTCCGGCGGGAGGAGCCGTGGCGGCGCGGCGGGGCAGTCCGAGAAGGCGAGCGCGCGGAGCGACGAAGCGAGCGCCTCGAGCGCCGCGGCCGAGACGGAAGTGGTGTCGGAGCAGTTGGTGAGGACGAGCGACGTCACGCGCCGGAACGGCGCCCCCGCGTCGCAGGACGCGGCCACGGCGCCGTCCGCGTCGCAGGGGTCGCCGGCGCGGTGCGCGCCGAGGCCGAGCGCGCGCAGCGCCAGCAGCTGCTGCGGGTCCAGCAGCTGCGCGCGGCCGGCGAGCCCGAGCGCGAAGGAGACGGTGGCCGCGACGCGGATGAGCAGGAGGAGGAGGCGAGAGGCGGCGAGGGTGGCGGCCATGCCCACGGACGAGCAGAGGCAGAGCACGCACCCGCACTGCACGAGCGCGCGTTGGAGCACGGGAAAGGTTTCGAAGGTGGAGCGAGTGGTGCGCGCGCTCGGTTTACGAGGCTTTGTCCTGCCCGCGTCGCTGGCGGGCCCCCCGCCCCCGGCTCGACGCGCCCCGTTGGATACTTGGATGGACGCGGGCGGACGGTCGGATGGGGGCGTGTGCGTGGTTTGGGCAGCGGGGGTCGGTCGCTTTCGGCATCAGTGTGCAATGCTCGTCCTCGTCCTCGTCGGGGTGCGCAGAGAGCGCAGCAGCGGTAGCAGCTCGTGGCTATCTCCGGTATCCGTGCCGTTGTCTCGGCTGCGCAGAGACAGAGGGAGAGGGCAACATCTTGTCAAATGCTTCCATGGGAGAGCGGCTGCTGCTTCCTGCCAGTCTTCATGTGACCGCCTGCTCTAACTTTCGCGCGCTGCGATGGCCATCGCGTGTCTGAGCAGTTCTCGCAGCTCTGCAACGAAACGGCGTGGTCGGACCTGCGAAGCTCGCTCGTGACAGAACAGCGATGGCATCGCACTGGTAACTGGGTCAGAGTTTGATGTTTTGTAGCGCGGTGAATTTTGTTTATCTTCAACGGGCAGTGAATTTTGAGCGAGTCAGCGACTGCCCGGGGCATCTTCACGAATGATGCTACAAATTTGTTCCCTAACTTTTCTTTAGTTACATTTGTATCCTAACTTACTTGTAAATATATTTTTTTGAAAAGGATAAGATCTATTATAAGCGTTCGCCATAAGTACAAAGCATCTCAAACATAAGAAAAATTACGCCTAGATTCCAAGACCACCGAACGACTACTACTGCAGTCAAAACGAGCTGCCGACGCGTCACTGTTGCCGCTTCCCTATGGGAGCCGGCTTGACCTTATCGATGACAGTCGGGAAGTCGCGATGCACATGCCCCTAAGGACTAGCGCCCTGGAATTGTAGTCGTCGCTGTTGAACTCTTTCATAGATCTGAAGCACTTGTCACCAAAGTTCGTCACATGAAGAGAAACCCTAACCTCACCGCCACAGGGAGATGACACGAATCTACGACAGAGCTCCATCGACTAAGTCCATACGGACGAACTCGGGGAGGATCGAAGCCCGAAAAATAATGTCGAAGAAGAAGCACTGTCATCCGCCTGACCATCGCACTTGCGAGAACTAAAAACCCTAACGTAAACTACTAACCGGAGCGAAGGCAGTGGGATTCCCCTCCCTGCCACCGATCGTCGGTGCGGCAAAAGGGAAGGTGAATCCATGGGCTCACCGGTGAAGTCTCGAGGGGACAGTTTGCCTTAGATGGCTAGGGTTAGCGAAGGAAACGAGAGGATTAACTTAAATATAGTCATGCATCAACCAACAAGACATCATATAACTATTCCCATAGTTTGTGTAGAATCACCCAATGAGAGGTGACACAGTGACAAGTTTGTGTGCTTGTTTGAGGTGCTGAGGTCAAGACGGCGCTGGCCTCCCATCCCCAAACCCTAGTCGCCCAGTTCTATACCACTACCAGTATTCCTTGTCCTTCATCGTTGCTCAAGGATGTCGTCGACGAGCCCACATGACCAATGAGGTCAGCGATGGTGAGGAAACCTCTCTCACTTGCATCCTTAGTCGGGTGTGAGCCAAATCTTGTAGAGAATTTAACCATGTAGTCGTTCTCTTCGGCGGGCGGCAACTGTGGAACGACCGTATAGTTGTGCTCCTAGTCATCCTTGGTAATGCTGCTCCGCTCCCTCCTCGATTCCCATGGTTGCCATGTTGTGGGTTTGTGGTTTAGTCGAGGTGTTGTATCAGTCATCATCCTCCTCCCCTCCTTCATTTTCGTTCATATCTGGAGTTTCGTATCCTCCGACCATCACTAGTGGATGTTGATTTGTGACATGACGATGTTTCTACTGAGATTTGGTGTTCCTCCACCTCCCCTAAGTTGTCTCTGACCAGATATGGGCATCTCATCGTCGAACCTGGTGCCCAACCACGCCTTGGTCGATGTTGTCCAGATCTTGGCATCAGACCGCAAGATTTGGCATTCCGCCCTCTCTGTCGCCTCGCTCACCTTGATGTGACCGAATATGGTCCTTATTTTGGTCGTTTGGACGTGTGCAGTCCTCTCCTCGGTCATTGATGCCCTGTCCTTGTTGCTAAGATCTCTCTTTTGTGGACCTTTCCCCATCTAGTTTTTTAGTGTGAGTCAGTTTGGTAGTGAGTGATTACCCACAAGTATAGGGGATCTATCGTAGTCCCAATGCCTTCCCCTAGGCCCAAATAATGGTGAAGTGTCATGTAGTCGACATTCACATAACACCACTAGAGGAAAGACAACATACATTTCATCAAAATATCGAATGAATACCAAATTCACATGACTACTTATAACAAGACTTCTCCCATGTCCTCAGAAACAAACGTAACTACTCACAAATCATATTCATGTTCATAATCAGAGGGTATTAATATACATAAAGGATCTAAACATATGATCTTCCATCGAATAAACTAACTAGCATTAACTACAAGGAGTAATCAACACTACTAGCAACCCACAGGTACCAATCTGAGGTTTTGAGACAAAGATCGGATACAAGAGATGAGTTAGGGTTTGAGAGGAGATGGTGCTAGTGAAGATGTTAATGAAGATTTACCCCCTCTCGATGAGAGGATCGATGGTGATGACGATGGCGATGATTTCCCCCTCCCGGAGGGATGTTTCCCCGGCAGAACAGCTCCGCCGGAGCCCTAGATTGGTTCCGCCAAGGTTCCGCCTCGAGACAGCGGCGCTTCATCCCGAAAGCTTACTTATGATTTTTTCCAGGGCAAAAGACACCATATACCAGAAGATGGGCATCGGGGGGCTGCCAGGTGTCCCATGAGACAGGGGCGCGCCCTCCACCCTCGTGGACAGTGGGTGGCCCCCCTCTGGTGCTTTCTTCGCCCAATATTTTTAATATATTTCAAAACTGACTTTTGTGGAGTTCAGGACTTTTGGAGTTGTGCAGAATAGGTCTCTAATATTTTCTCCTTTTCCAGCCCAGAATTCCAACTGCCGGCATTCTCCCTCTTCATGTAAACCTTGTAAAATAAGAGAGAAAAGACATAATTATTGTGACATATGTGTAGTAACAACCCATAATGCAATAAATATCGATATAAAAGCATGATGCAAAATGGACGTATCAGTGAGACATCTATGTGGTCATGTTCTCCTTGCTTCAGTGCTATGCCAGTTATGATGTCGTGGTTGTCTTCATCCTGACACCCTTTCTCAAGCAAGTGTGACTTTGGGCCATTGGCAAATACCATTCTAGAGGGCTTGTGCTTATGATATCATGGTCGTCCCTCTGAGCTGTTGTAGGTATGGTTGTGCTTTCTTACATGTATGTTGTCCATACTTGTTCTTGCTTGGGTTGCTAGTCTTTTGCCTAAGTCATTTGGTTGGCGCTTGTGTACACAACCCTTAGATCGTTCGTCGTTTATTAGGTTGTGTTGTGCTCTCACGTTGTGCCATCTTTGACATTGTGTTGGTGCTGCCATCTTTAGAGTTGTTATCTCCTTTCTATATCAATGAATACATGCAACTCTCACAAATGGTTTGTAAAAAAAGATAATATCAAGTGGAACTTGTGCAAGGGTCGTTTGATTACATATCTCTTGCCCCCCCCCCCCAAATGAACTCCATAGACTACCTCCTAAACTTAACCTCACAATGTTTAAGTGGTTTGGGAGGGTGGCAACTAGTCCTTGCCATATTCTTAACTCTCGATAAAATTTCCATTGACCTCTCTCTCTCCTTTCGCATACATAAACCCTATTTCTGACTATATTTGCACACAATGCCAATTCCGACATTGATGTCTCTATTGCACACATTTCAAAGATATTTAATATTTAAAAGTTCAAATTCAAACGCAATATAGGGTTCAAATGTAACAAATAATAAGCATGATAAAGGCATGATGATGCATGATGTGTATTGCCTATGAAGTTCCCACAAGTGTTTCACAAGATCATCTCAGAGTTTGATGAGGACATCCCTACTAGTTACGCCCACAACCAGGCTGCTCGAGCTCCACAAATACAAGGGCGAATTACTAGAGCTCACACGTGCAACTCAAATATAATGTACTTTTTGTTGCTGGAACTTCCTCTAGCATTCATGAGATTATGATGTAACTCATTCTTTCATAGTCAGCTTATTATGAATTCCTAGCTATTTTAGCATTAAGAGGATACAAAGCATGCATACATACACCTGACATCACTTGACTAAGATGAACACAACAAACACTAACACACACAAGCATAGATAAAGGTGACGACCAAAGCAAAGTTACACTAGATCGATACCATGCACAACATGATTTACGCGAGGTGGGTGGAGGGCATGTTCGTGGACTATGTTGCCAACCATGCGGGGCTAAAAACATCCCTCGCGCGCCTGCTGCAAGAGTGTATGCACCACCATAAACAACGGCGATGCTTCAGTTCTTGTAGAGTAGACATGAACAAAGCGAGTGCGTACGATGAATTTTTACCATAAAAACTATGTCATTTCTACATAGCCAAAACAATCATAACAAGGTGCTCCTACTCTTACAACCGCACTAACTTGCATGGTATACCATCATGCCAGCGACCGTACATGTTGGAAAGATTGCGTGGGGGTTATAAGTTGTCTAAATCAAGTGTGTTTGTATTGTCAAGAAATGAAGGACCTAACATGATTTTTTATTTATAATGGTTTTTAAGGGGAGGTCATGATGGCTAGCTACATTAATATCATAGGACAATTACCTCATTCGCAATGCGTTAACTTTTTCTGATTCTCAAACTTTTTTCAACTTCATGAACTTCTTCCAAATGCGCGAACATTTTTTATTCATGAACATTTTACGACTTTTTCAAATTCGCGAACATTTTTTTGTTAAAAAATCGATAGCCAGGTTTTTTCTTGAACAACACGA